CTCCCTGGCAGCTCTCTACCAGGTGCCCTAGAGCTAGGGCCCACACGTCCAGAGCGTCCTCCTCCTCCTCCTCATCTTCTTCTTCCTCCGCTGCTTCGCCCTCTTTCTCTTGAGCCTGTCACCGGAAAGACACGCGACATACCGTACAAGACGGTAGACCCCCAGACCCCCGCAGCTGAACGGCTGCTTGTGCCGGGACATGCCGGGACCATGCAGGCCTTGCGCTTGACCCCTACTCGACAGCGAATCGTACCTCGGAGCCGAGACACCCGGACCCGGAGGCATCTCGCTGCCGCCATGGCCGCTATGAGGAACTTACCAAGCTCCGAGCCAGCAGAACGCACGGAGCGAACCGAGCGCATCGGTGGCGAGGGCACGAAGACCTGGGACTTGGGATGCATGGCGAAATGCGTCGAAGCAGCATGAAGCAGGCAGCCCCGCACGTCCCTTCGAAGGCGATTTCAGCAGGAGCACGGATGCGAGTGGCTATTAAATCGAGTGACGACGATCCGAGAGCAAAGCCACAAGCCGAAGCCAGTGGCATCATGATGACAAGCACATGCCCGCAGAAACTGCTCCCCCGAGCACAGCCCCGCTGGACCAATTGAGAAGGCGGGGGGCCGTCCCAATGCCCGGTTTTGACGTGCTTGGTAAGTTTCGGAGTCTTGTTGCTGATACTCTTGCAAACAGGTTGTGGTTACAAATCAACTTTCAATCCTGCGCACAATTCAGCAGACAAGTGTGCTCATGAGCCCGCTGCTGACAGCAAGCTTCCGCCTGCATCGGTTAGCCTCTCAAGACAAGCCGCGCCATCAGCCCAGCACGGCAGTTGCAGAAGACTCCGTGCCTTCCCACCACGCAGAGCGCGAGTGCGATGGCAGCCAAAGCACCATGGGGCAGAAGCCTGGTGCCTGACAGCAACACTTCCAAACTTCGGAGACGCCGGCGAAGGCTCTCTACGACTTCGCCTCGCTTTAGCATCCTCGCGACGGAGCACCGCTAGGCGGAGCCCCCGCAGCGCCCCCTACAGGCCCAGGAGCCGAGGATTCGCCGCAAAGACACGCACTGCGAATATCTCCTTCGGAGAGTAGATATACCTTCTGCCTCCATGCGTAGCATGTGCATCCGATGAGGAGCTGTTTAGGGCAGATCAACCTGGGGGTGTAGCATCCTGCCATCTCTTCAGGGTCTTCCTAGTTTCTAAGCGAGTTGGGAATCAAAGGTGCCTCGGTTCTGTGACAAGTCAACTGCACCCGAGAGCTTGCTGCTGAGACAAGTGCGTTAAGGCCTCTCGGCTGGATGCACAGCCATCCACACTTCGAGATTGCGTCAGGCTTTCTACATCCCTGACACTGAAAGGACACACCTCTAACAACACAGTGAACAGCTGAGCTCTCAAAACGCGCCGACACACACACACACACAAACGAACTTGCCGGGCTGACAAGTGAACTGATCTTCCGCATGAGCTTTCTCAATTGATGCTGAGCACTCGCACTTGCTATCATGGGGCGGTACTCGATGCCGGCTCAGCACGCAGCAAAGCAAATGTGCTCTTATGGAGGAGCCCACTGCGGCAAGCAGCAGGCATGTCGAAGCGAAATGACACAAAATCCGCGAGCAAAAGCCAGCACAATGCCCGCAAAAACCTGGAACCATTCTCCTGAAGTGCAGCAACTATTGCACGCACATCAGCGGAAGCTTCGCTAAGCACTACGGCAGAAGGCGTCGCGTTGTTGTACGAACTGTCGACTGGCTCGATCGTACTTGTTCCCGTCCAGCCCAACATTGTCTCCATGGCGGTCTTGTCCTGCTCATCATTGGGGTGCAAGCCTAGCGATTGATCGAAAGGTGAAGAGAGGTTGCACTGGTGCACTCCGAACATCCTTATCCAATCGTCTTCCATGCTCTCTGTCTTACCAATGAAACCCATCGGAACTGAACAGCCGGCATTTGGTATCATGAACTCCAGCTGAGGCTTGACATGACCATCGCGGTTGACGCCGGTGCGCAAAAACTCTCTGAAGAAGGCAGCAGCTCGTCGTGGACTGCCCACGGGATATTCCTTCAGAGTCGTCGCGAGGTCAGTATAAGTTGGATTCCCATCACGCGCTCGGCTCTCGATCTCCGCATACCCGGAGATGAACCGTGCGATTGGATGTCGCACGAAGGTGAAGCCGACGTGATCTTTGCCGTCGACGGAGTTGTAGCGTTCGCAAAACTGGGCATAGGACAGTCCTTCCTGGCTGAAGTTTGTGGAAACTTTCTCAAGATTTTCAAAGACACTGTGGCCAGCTGACTTCCATATATGGCGATAGTACATTGCCTTCTCCTCGAAGCAGCTGACATCCCCGATAGCTTGCTCACTGTCCATTCCTTCAGGCAACCAAGCCGAGCCCGACCAGTTCGTTTCTTCTTGCACGTACGGCCATACATGAAGCCGCAGATCGGTTAAACTCGAAAGGCACCTCTCAGTGGCCTTAGGACACTCTTCACTGGCCCGTTGCAGCAGTGACTCCAATGCTGACCTCTCTGTAGAAACCGCCGTGCTGCTGCTCATGCTGATATTATTCGCACCTGGGATGCTGACGGCCATCTGCAACAGTGATGCATGGCAACCGACATCCTGAAACATGTCATTTCCAGAAGCAGCTTGCAACGCAGCGAAGATCACAGGCCATCTTGTGCAGCCTATCGAGAACATGTAGGACGTTTCAGTCGGGCATTCCTTAGCCAAACTCTCTGAGAAGAGTAGCCTTCAGCTCAACTTCAAGAAAAGAGCAGTCAAGGTCAAGAGCGAACGAGCGAGGTGGCGGTCACCATTCTCGCCCGTGCTCGTTCTCAGATGGCGCGTGCTTTGTTTTCTCAAACCCGAAGCAAAAAGCAAGTTGAGAGCCGACTTTTTGTTCTATGTTCTGTGTGGGACGAAAGTGACGAATCGCAGCCTGGCCGCAGTTGGAGAGGGCTTCCAAAAGCGGGGTAAAGCTTGACATCTCGGCGTCTGGTTTGAGGCCTACTCAAGCCTGGCTCTGCACTGCGAGGAGCCGCGCGTCCTTAGCCTTCAGGCCTCGAGGTGCAACCTGACTACCATCTACATCCACTTTTTTGTGGTTCTTTTTGCCTTATCGAAAAGCCCATCATGCATGAATACATCTCAGACCGATATGTCAGAATGCAGAATGTGCCGAGGAATAGAACTTTTCGGCTCTGCGCGAGGAGCGGCAGCTGAGGCGGGAAGAGATCTTGGATCAGCTCGCACGCTCGCAGCAAAAAAAGAACAAAGGGAAAGACTGATCGAAGCTTGGGCAGCAAATCTTGGATTTGCGACTAACCAACTGTACAGAATGCTACACACAGCCAATGCTGACTCCTGCATTCCTGGTTTCAGGCATTAGCCGCCAAACGGTATGCTTAAGATGAAAGCACGCGCCAGGAATCGGGACTTTCTCGTTCCTCCAAAGCGTATGCATTTTTATGCGCGTAATCTGCAGCGTCCAAGCCAGCCTGCTCGGTACCTTCTTGCACTCGGAGTCCCGCAGCCACTGCGAGAAGCTTGATAATCACAAAGGACCAAAACCCAGTCCAAACAAGAACACAAAGAATGAGCACGACTTGGGCAGCGAGGGCCGTCCCCACGATACCTGCGATGCAGGGAGGCTGCAGATCGTTGGAAGGCGCTGCTGGAAGGCAAGTCCACCCATACTGGCCGTGGTAGTACTCGAAGCCTTTTCCCCAATCAAAAAGCGTAGCCGCAATGGTGCCCCAGATACCGCAAGCTAGGTGAACAGCGCTCGCATCTACTGGATCATCTATGTGCATTCTCTTCAACAGGGCTGAGAATGCTTCGAAGACCAACCCACCAACAACAGCAGCTGCAAGTGCACTTCCAGCATTCATGTTTGCGCATCCGGCAGTAACGGAAACCACACCAGCCAGAATACCATTGCAGAGGCCTGCCAGATCATACTTCTTCTTGACCACGAGTCTTAAAAAGAACACGGAGGTCCCTCCTGAAGATCCAGCTAGTGCTGTGTTGACGGCGACTTGCGCTGCCAGAGTTGCGGTCTCACGGGTGTGCAGGGACAGTGTGGACCCTGCATTGAAGGCGAACCAGCCAACCCAAAGGAAAAGCGTTCCCAGAACAAGAAAGGGCAAATTGTGCGGTTCGAAGGCAACTGCATGAGCCGGATGAAAGCGATGTAGTCGCGGTCCTAGGAGGACAGTGCCGACCAGTGCTCCCATGCCGCCGGACACATGCACGATACAACTTCCGGCAAAGTCTGTGTAGCCGACATCGAACAGACTCGCGAGCCAACCATCACTCCAAGTCCATGCTACAATTACTGGGTAGACAAAGGCAGTCATGAAAAAGGTGTAGACCGAGTACGATGAGCTCTTTGCTCTTTCCAGCACAGCACCACTGACAATTGTGCAAGCTGTAGTGCAGAAACCCCAGCTAAAGAACCAGACAGCCATCTTGGTTGGACAGACCCCATCATCGCAAGATATCGTAGCCTTCAGCGACTGGCCGGAGCCTACCTTAAGCAGGTCCGAGCCGAAGAAGCCACTCGTTCCAATGAAGTCCTGGAATAAACTGCCCGTGGCGAATCCCCAGCCGAAGGACCACCAGCCCAAAGTGCCAACACAGAGGCTCAGCATGTTCTTGATGAGAGCATCCTAAGGAACCCAACATGAGACCGCCAGCTTGCACAGAAGACTACACCAAAGACAAGAAGCAAAGACCTGTTAACTCGGCTTGGGTCCGAAGCGTTTCGGGCACGACATGTCCCGCATTCCACCATGGCAAATCCTACGTGCATGAACATCAATATTGCCCCACACAGAAGCAGCCAGAGGTTGTCCGCAGCCGCGGCCATGGTGTCATCCTTCTTCTGTAGAGCATGGACCTTGGCGCACCCACGCGGGGGCGCTCGCGCACACACACACACACAC